CATTTGTCGGGTCACTGAAGTCGACACCTACAACTGACATACCACATAGCTGCACAATTAACTTCCTCGACACCTACAACTGACACACCACATAGTTGCACAATTAACTTCCCGAACTTCGAGGGCCAGTATTTCATGCGACACCTACATCTGACATGCCACAGAGTTGCACAGTTAACTTCCCGAACTTCGAGGGCCAGTATTTCACAGGGTTAGCTAAACTGACATACCACATAGCTGCACAATTAATTTCCGAACTTCGAGGGCCAGTATTTCACAGGGTTAGCTACACTCTCCTTGCGTTCTTGCTACGGCACGAGAAGTGCAAAAACGCATAATCGCACCGGCCCGCCTGGTGCGTTCCAGCCTGGGTCGGTACGAAAAGTGCAAAAACGCATAATCGCACCGGCCCGCCTGGTGCGTTCCAGCCTGGGTTATGAAACTGATGCTTAGGTGAAGCTGTTCCAGAAAATCCCGTCATTAGGCTTCTTTGTTTATGAAATTGATGCTTAGGTAAAGTTGTTCTACAAAAGTCCGTCATTAGGCCTCCCTATTTACGAAACTGTTGCTTAGGTAAAGCTGTTCCGTAAAAACCCGCCATCAGACTTTCCTGTTTATGAAGCTGATGCTTAGGTAAAGCTGAGAGCAAATAAGTACTGTGAAATGGGCAAAAACAGGTAGAATGGATGCCTGGGGATGAAGTCAGCCTTTGCTTCGATGAGGTTTTGAAGACAAAAAAAACAAAGGTATAACTGTTATGCACAGTTGCAAGCTGCGAGAATTGTCTGCAATTCTTGTGTAATCCGGTCGGACTTATTTGCCCTTAGCTTCACCTAAGCATAAGCTTCAGTAAATCCTGTCGAACTTATTTACCCTCAGCTTCACCTACGCATAAACCTCATAAATACGGGCACCGCTTACTGAAGACGGGTTTTTATAAGACAGATGCTACTCGCATAAGCTGATGCTTAGGTAAAGCTAAGAGCGAATAAGTTCTGTCACCATCTATCGTCCTGAACTCCTAACCAGCAACTTCGTTCCTCCTCACTATCTTAACCTCAATCGCGCCCTCTGAGCTGTATTTGGGCAGCTACCAACCAACA